TTATGCGCTGCAGGGTATGCTCAGAGACTTCTTTGTTCATCACTCTGTTGCATAAAGAGCTGTGGGTGTGTTATTCACAGAATGTAGAGCTGGGTGGACTTTACAATGTCATAGCAATATTCAATAATCTGCAAAGATCGAGCATCTGTGGCAAACATCTTAAAATACTGTGTCTGTGTAGAAGGAATCTACAGATTTCTTTTAAAAAACCTATCCTCTCCATTTTTGTATAAATTAATCTACTTTTGCCCTTCTGCATGTGCCTTTGGAACTGCAAACACCCTCTATTTATTACTGTACAGACCAAGCTGTCAAAAGTTGAACAACCTTTTTCTTAGTCTTGCTTTGGGGAGGCATGTGTGGTTGTGTTGTCCATTTTTCATAGGCCTTGACTAAACACAGTAAATAGGAATGACTGGCTTTGGCAATGGGAACAGTCTGACTGAATTTATGAAAGCCATGTTTCTTTTGGACAGAGTTCCCTCAGCTTTTTCCTAACCAGACATCACAGCAATTATCTGCTAGCACAAGCCAGATTTTGTTGGGATTATTGATGATCCAGATTAAAGCTTCTCCAAACAGACTCTTCAGAAAGAATGATGGACCTGAAAGAGAAAAAATGCATGGATAATACCATGTGCCTAAATGATATGGCTAAATATGGAGGATCAGGGCTTTTTTTTGTCATAGAACTCACCAGAACGGAGTTCCACCACCTTTTTTTGATGGATCTTTCCAAGTGATTGTGAATCACCCTGTTGGGCGCAGCAGGTCGGTGGCAAAAATCATTAACATAGTGCCTCCGGGCTGCTTGTGTGTTGGCGCTGATTGTTGGCACAGATTGTGAGGGCGCTGCTTGGCTTGGGACGCTGCTCAGCTTGGGATCAGTCATGTGATCGCACGCTGAGTGTTTACTGCCGGCGGCGACCATTGTGTAAAAGTGTGACCCCAAGACGTGAGTTCCGCCCCCCCCTTTTTTTTTTTACAAAAAAAGCACTGTGGAAGATAATTATCATGATCATATACTGTATTGTTCCAAGATGAGTGGCTACAGTGTTGAAGCTTTGACAAGTATTTCCAGAAGCTAAATGTTTTGTTTCGATAATTCTTAGGGGGTTCCACTCCATCACAAATATTCTTGAAAAACATGCAGCTTTTGATCAAAGATGGTGAATTTGGACTCCCTGGCCTTTCTTTATATCATTGTTCCTATTGTTGACTTGCATTAATTTTGGAATTTTCTAGTTAGATTAGATTCCTCTCCCTGATCAGTTTTGGAATTTTAATTTCTGGATCCTCTTCCCCACTGGGTTTTATTGGGCTTTCATTGCAACAAAATAGATAATGTGCCCTTTCCTTTTGTGGCAGAGACCTGTGGCATATATTTTCGCATCTAGGAAAATCCAGATCTAAAATTGGCAAGAAAAGATTTGTTTGGTGGACTTGAATGGACAGACTGATTTTTACTTTGCACCACCTTGTCAGTCCAGACAATAATTTTCTCCCATTTTATGCTTTGTGTGCTGAATATAAATTGCCAGCTATGGCAAATTACAGTGTATGCAAAGTGAAACATTATTAGAATCCTGGTATGGTCCTGCTGCTTTTGCAACTTCAGATCTGCCTGTGTCTGAGAAGTATTGACTGGAGATGAACAGTTACATCAGGATGTAATTCATGTGGATAAATATCTATTATTACTGAATAAATATGATACACAGGGTCTTAACCAAGAATGGAATATTGAATTGGAGCACCCCAACTTGCTGAACCAGTGTACTGCTTTTGAATTCTTTATTTCACAAGGGAGTATGGATCTCAGGCTATGCTACTTAATTCAACAAAAGATGATGTTTTAAATATATTGGATGCCTCAACATCTCTTTGAAAATGACTTAATTAAATTGGCCAATTGCTGGAGCTACAATTCTGTTATTGCTTCTCTTCTTCATAAGTTTTGGCAGTGCCCAATGGCACTTTTCTTTTGGGAGAAGGTAATAATTTTGATAAATCTTTTGATGGAAAGTTCATTAATATTTAAATATACACATGTTCTTTTTGTATTATCTTGGAATTCAATGCAAGGTAGTTTAAATGGATTTTCTACAACCTTTCAACAGCTAAAAGACTAACACTAAGGATAAATGGCCACCTGCAATGATAAAATGGATGGAGAATTGAATGAAACTTTCAGTTTTTGAACTGGTTACTTTTGGTTATAATCTATAAATGAATCAATATATAGATAATTGGGGTGATTTTGTTTAAGTATATTTTTTAAAATAATGGTAGCATGTCCTGTGATACATATGGGTGATAATACATAACTGTAACCAATGCTATGGATCTTTTAAATGGTTAATCAACATTTGTAATATTTTAACTTTATTCCTTTTTCTCTTCTCTAGTGGTGTCTTTCATTGTTTTTGTAATGTGCAGTTTTAAAAATTTCAAAAAATACTGTTGAAACCTTCCCTTCTAAGGTTGCACTGAGGCAGGAATGTTTCATTAATTTTGTTTTCCAATCATTTGAATTGTTTTCGTTTCATTATTTATTTGTTACCATTTCATTTCTTTTTGTTATTCTAACTTGCATTGATTTCCCATTGCTTACTAGCTAGTCTGTGCATGCCTTTAATTTTGGTGTTTGCCATACAAACAAGCATGGCATTTCCTGTCCTCCTCTTTTAAAGTATTACACAAGCCAAATTCCAAAGAGTTTGGACCAAAGATTAAACTTGTATGGAAAATTATAATCTTCCCATTGCTTTAAGCTGCATTTCTCCTGCTAGTAACTTCTATTCTAGATCTATTGTTATGAAATTTTGCTGTTATTATTATAATTGGGGTTATTATATTATAATAATATAAATATAATTATATTTAGTAGGGTGAGTAACCCTACGAAATTTTGAGGTCACTAACCCTCCAACAGATCAGACCTGCTGAATTTCATATGGTTAGGAAAAAGCACCCCACCCCATTCTATGGACCTTATTTTATACTGGTCATTAGTCTTTTACTCCCATACCCATAACCTTTCTGTGAACTGTACAGACTTTTTTAGCCAAATCCTTCAATACAAAGCAATCAGAAACAAATGAAAAAAAGCACAGAATTCCCATTCATTTTTCATTCCATTTGTTTTCATTATAAAAGCCATGAAAGAAATAGCACTTGTTCATTTGATGGTCATGCATTTATAAAATGAAGGCACCCTTTCTGACATAACAATGGTGCGGTATTAAAGATACCACGATGAACTGAAGGCATTCCTGTGTGACGTGTGAGAGGTGGTTTTATTGCTATTCTGGGTTGGGGAGGTGAGGCATCGAAGGCATGACTCAAAGTGCACAGGGATGACCACAGCACTCCCCTCAGCCTAGAGAGAAATGGCTGGAACTGTTGATATGCCATGTCAGCAACTGAACCTATCTTATGTTTTCGTCTGAGACCCGTGTTGGCTAAAGAGGCAGGATAGAAATCTAATAAATAAATCTGATAAAAAATAAAGACATCTGCCAAAATAAACTTGTTTAATGTTACAGTTTAACTTTAGTATGAGAGTAAGTGACTAAGGGAGGGAACGACCCCATATTAGGGAGCACTCTGAGTGTAGAAAGCATGTGGCTGAGTAGAAAATAGCGAAATTCAGGTTACTGGCTTAGCCTGAGGCTGTTGAAGCCAAAGGCTGGTGGTAACTGGGGAATGGCCTGAAGACAACTGCTTCTGTGTCTCTGAGGAAGGGGAACCTGAGGCTGAATGACTTCTGGCAGTTCTGGGTGTGAAGCAAGCAGGATACCTGAGAAGAATGTAGCAAGCTGGGTTTAGGGCCAGGGTGTGAGGGCTCCATAGCTTGAGCACGAGAGCCATATAAAATCAAAGAATGCGGTGGCTACAAATACCTGACAAACTCATTGCTGAGTTCTTCCAGGAGAGTGGGCAGGGTGTTCCTTGTCTGGGCAGTGCCAGACTTCTTGCTGCTGCTCAGGGCAGGGTCATGAGAAAAGCTCAAATATCACCATTGTGATATTATCTAAGGTCCTAACAAGCATATTACCAGATGGTGAATTTCAAGGTCTGTAGAGCATCACAGCTCCCCATCACACCCTAATGCACCTTGTGGTACTGCCATCAGGTCTGTGAGTGCTAGAAGGGGTTAGAGCTGCTGCAACAACAGGAACCAGATGGAAGCCACAGGCTGGGTATCAAAGGCTGCTCAGCAACACTACAGCAACATGGGTTTTGTGGTCCTGATCTGGCCTCTGGCTGGCATGGTCTTCATGGACTCCTCCCAGTTCCTGGCTTTGCCTTTGGTTCTATCACACCTTTCTGGACATCTGATCCTTGCCTGTTTCTGACCTTGTCTTTGCCTCTGGTCCTACCATACCTTGTTAGAACCTGACCTCACCAATTCTTGGCTGTGCCCTTTGTCCCTGCTCCCACCATGTCTTGGTGTGTGACCCTTGCTTGTGTTTTGACTTTGACTCTGGTCCAGCTAGATTCTGCCAAGGCCTCTATCTCTCCCCATTACCCTGGTTCTTGGGCTCCAGTTGTAAATGCCTGCTGCTTATGTCCCAGAGCTGACAATGGCTTTTGGATTTTTTCCCTAAATGGATCAACATGTCTATGGTTCCTTTGCTTGTGGAAGAATATGTTAACCAGAAACATTTCTTTGTGGTTGCTGCCATGCATTCCCAGGCAGCAAGTTATGTACCAGGCAGGACAGGTCTGTACCGTTAGGGTGACAGTTTCCAGTGTGACATGCAATTATATGATGAGCCGTCCCAAACAAGTCAAAAATGGGAGAAATAATGGAAATAATTAGGAAAATGTGTAAATATGCATCAAACCCAGTTGGACTGACATATATATGAAACCATTTTGGAGGCCTGGAATCTGAATTTACAGAATATTTATTCATATGATTTTTTTTTAGTAATCAGTAACTTTATTTCTGAAAAACCCACACATCAGACCAGTAGCCAAAACAATGGATGAGTTCCTTCTACTAAGTGACATATCATTACACATTCCCTTTTAACATCTTAATGATGTCATTATACATTTTATTACGTGCATCAAGACCATACACAAAATCCAAATGATTCCACTCAGGAATGAACTTGGCGTACTTGAGATGTTTTAATTTGGGAATTAAGATTTCAACATCTTCAGGGTCAGAAAGCCAATCTTCTCCACCACTCCAGATCGCAATTGGTACATTCATGTCGCTCACATTGTATTCAGGAGGCTGAATCTTTAATAAATGGGGAACAAAAATTAATCCAAATGAAATAGAAAAATACTGTCTTTTTATACTCAGGGGCAGGCAGCCTCAGCCCCCATAGATATTATTTGACTTCAATTAGACCTAGTCAGGTATAGGCAATGTTGATGGATAACTCCTGGAGAACTTCTATATCCATGCTAGATCTGTCTTAACAGGACCTGCTTGGGACTTCATAGATTCCATGAGAACCATGGAAATGTGTTAGATTATCAGTGGTCCAACACACTTGATCTTTGTCTCAGGGCATAATGGGACAGATCTGGATATGTGTGTGTGTTTAAATCACTATATCATCAAACCACTTACAGACACATTTAATCTTATGATGTCATCCCTCTCTGTATGAGGCCTTTGTGCTATCAAACTGACACAATATCTCCCGACTTCCATCTTTGACACCTTGGTTTACTGACCAGAACAGGTGTATGACTCAATGTAAACATGATTTGACATGCGTGAGAGTCTATGCTTTGACAGTGAAGTCAGCAAAGAAGGTTTACTTTACTGCTTTCATCATATCCTCAAATAAGTGAGGATAAGCTTGAGCTTTTCCAAGTGGTTCAGGGGTTGCTTTATTTACTCCAGGGAATTGATTGCTGAAGGTCTTGTAGAGCTGCTGTGATGAGTTTGGCAAACATTTCAGAGATAAAATCACTCACTTTCATGCTAACCTAAACATAGAATCTGCTGAGGCTTGCAATACGTTGCCTTGTCCTGTGTCACCAGACAGGTAGCATTCTTCAGGTGGGAAACAATGGGCATTTGACCTTATTAATTCTTCTGGATTTCAGCAGCTTTTGATACTAGTGACCATGGTATCCTCCTAAATTAACTCCTTAGATAGGAGCACCATTTTATGGTGGTTTGGCTTTCACTAACATAGTCCATTCCACAAAATAACATTGGGTGAGTGTGCTGGCTGTTGAACTGTGGGACACTATTCTGTCACCAATATCATTTCTGTCATTCTGTCACCAAACATTTATATGAAGCCACTGGGGGTAGTCATTAGAATATATGGGGAAAGGTCCATTTTCAGTTCTATTTTTCTATAATACATGAATCATGCACTGAACTGGTGATTAGATACAGTTACGGCTTGGATAAAAGCAAACAAATTCAAGCTGAGCCCTGACAAGGCAAAGTTCAGTAACTGCATTGTTTACCTGTTCTGAATAAGGTCACACTCACTTTGAAGGATCAAAGTATCTAATCTGCAGTGCTCCTGCATCCATAGGTGTCACTAGAGGTTCACATGACCTCAGTGGCTCAAACGATGTATGACCAGCTTTGGCTGATGTGCCATCTGTGCCAACTCCTATGCACTAGTAATCTTATTATTAGACTATCGTATGCAGTTGCCATGGAGTGGTCTTTGTGCCTGGTTCAAAAGCAGTAGCTAATGCTGAACACAGCAGCTCCTGTTCTGCTGCTCTAATTACTTGTGTCTGATCTAAGTAAAGTTGTTCCAAACATTGCATTCAGGTTTGATCTCAGTAATCTGTAATAACACTATACTATACTTAAATAAAACAAAACATCTCCTGGGAAATGCTTTACCTGATTGTAATGAACTAGGTTTCCGAACAGTCCATAATTAAAAGCTTTGAGCTTACCACTCTGGATGCCCTGCAAACATAAAATAATCTCAAATGTATGATGCATTTTTTGCAAGAAGTACAGTTCCTTAGGAAAATATGAAGGCTGATAGCAAATATTTTTCATTTGTTTCGTAGCAGCAAACTATGTTCCCTCTGCTTTATATGCAGATAACGGGTATAACCTGTGTGGTCCATAGATACAGAGGTGAAGAGCACTGTTCAGGATTATTCAGAAGGCTCCAGATTTGACATCCAGGCACTACTGGGGTTCCCAATTCCATGGAGATCTATGGATAACATGGGATTCCCTTTTGAAAAAGCTGCCACTCAACATATGAGCAGCAGGTGCAAGGAAGCCATATGATCTTTGCAACAAGGTCAGAGGTGCATCCTGTTTCTGCTAACACCATGGAGCCCTTCTCATACTGAGTGAATGGAAGAGGCTAGGTGAAGAATGTGTGAAAAGGAAATTGGCTTGTGCTAGTCGACACACATCGACAGCACTCCAGGGCTTCTGAAACAGAGAATGTGCACCCGAATTTCTAAAGACTCTTTGTCTTCATTTTCTGTTGAAAATTCCTGTTTAGAAGCTCAAGCCCCCTCTCTGCACTTTTTCAGCTGTACAATATCAATTTTTATTACAGCAACTGGAGGTGTACACAGTATTCTATGGTTGGTTGCACCATAGATTAATATAAGGAGAAAAAGATAATTTCCCAAATTATGCTTATGTGGAGCTCGGCTTTTTCACAGTACAACAATGGGTTGACTTTTTCATTCAGTTGTCCACCATAACCCAAGATCATTTTCTTTGTCAGTCAATGCTAGCTCATATCCCATCAGTTAATACTCAAAGTGCCCTTTATATTTTCATACTGTGAATTGCATTTGCCATTTGATGCGTATTCCAGTTTAGAGAGATCCTTTTGGATCTCACAGTTGTTTTTTTAGTTTAATTGATCTAGATAGTTTGGTGTCATCAGCAAACCTAACTATTTTACTGCTCATTCCTAATTGTACTTCATTTATGAATGAGTTGAAAAGCATCAGTCCCAATACAGCTCCCTGTGGGAATGCATTGTTTGCATCCCACCCCTAGAAGATTTTACTATTTATTCCCATCATCTGCTTTCTGTTTCTTTACCAGTTACTCTTGTTATTCCATGACTTCCAAGTTTCATCAGGAGTCTTTGGTGAGGCATTCTGTCACAAGGTTTAGGAAAGCCCAAAAGTCATAAGTGTACTTACTAGAGAATAAGCCCTATTAACTCAGTAGGACTTACTTCTGAGTGCTCATGATCAATATCACACTGTTAATATTGAGCCAACTGCAGCTCAAATATTTAGGTCACGCATTGAGTGGGGATAGAAAATTGTGCCTAAAAGACAGTATTAGTATATTGCTTAAAACAGGGCAAAGTGTGTCAAAAGGAAATGATACTCTTCCTTTAACAGAATTCAACTGGAAGGTCTGCTTTTTGTTTTGTTTGCTTGTTTGCCTCGATGTTATCTTTAAATTTCCATAGACCAATTTGGAACTTGGGTTCCATAGAACCCAAGAACTGGTTCTAGGGTTAAGTGGAAGGAATTCAGCAAAGTGTCCATGGAGTAGTTCCTTCTACACAGAGAAGGCCATGGGCTTACCCACCAGCAGTGCCAATGGGACACCATTTTAAGTTTCTCACACTGCCCCAGAACACCTAACAAAGTCTTGCTCTGAAGCATTGTGGGAAATTCAAATTGTTGCTTGAGGCTGCACATGGCACAGGGAGATCAACTTCTGGGACCCTGGAAACAGCCCAGATATGGCTTGTATTGATAACTGGCTGGAGGCTAATCATGTAGCAGCTCAATCACATACACTGGGCTAAGGGCAGGACAAAATGCTCAGACACAAATAGCTCCTCTCTGTTTGAACCTAGTCCCTTTTGTTGCCTTTACACAGGTTCAAGGGCAACAAATATATGCACAACTGAGATATTACTATGAGAAGTGGGATTGTTGGTGGATGGCAGCTTTAAGAACTGATCTCAAAAGTTAGGCTTGTATCTCCAATGGGCAAGGGGTTTTTCTGCTGGAGGACAGAACAGATATAACCTATATTTGAAAGAGCAGAATTAACAGAAGGACACCAACTCTTAGATATTAAAAAAGTTACCTACATTTGTTTGAAACGTATTATATTATGCCTTATGTTTGCATTTGGTTTCACAGTGTTTACCTGTTTCCAGTGGATCATATTCTGTACTGATGTTCCAGCTGGGACATGAGCTGCATAGACATCTACTCGGCTCTGAAATGTTAAAACAGTTTCTTTTAGTAGTAGTAGTAGTAGTAGTTGTTGTTGTTACTAGTTACATGGATAATCCACCTTTGTCCATCTTGTAAGGAATCCAAGATGGCTTTCATGGCTCTCCTCTGCATTTTCTCCTCATAACAACAATCTTGTGGGCTAGGTTAGGCTGAGAGTCAGTGACTGAAAGTTGCCCAGTAAACTTCATGACTGAGGAGGGGTTGGAACCCAGATTTTCTGAGTTCCAAGTCAACACTTTAAACATTTTCCCTCCATCAAGGGTAAAATTACACATTACCATAATTAAATAGCATGTAGCTGAACCAAGGCTATTCAAGTAGCTCAAGAAGAGCAAGTACATGGAGCAGGTAGTTTCTTTATTATGGAACACCTCAAAGATCTGTCGTTTGCAAGAACCCAACATAAATCTGGATCTGACCCTACTTTCACACTGTATTTCTTAAAAAGAAAACAGAATAGCATATGGAAAGATTGTACGCACCATATTTAGGTTGTCCTCATTAAATCCACACAGTATGAACAGGAGGTTGCTACAAATAGGAGCCAACTCATGTTGGCTGCAGAAGTGAGCAGAAAGTATAGAACCAAAATATGTTTTTGGCAAAAATTCTTTCATTCCAAACAAGATCTGTAAATTTCAGAGACGTGTATTAACTATACAGAATTATCATTATTCTCATTTTTGCAAATGGAGCTATTTTTGTTGTATTCAAAATTTAGAAGTTGTAAACAATGGTACAAGTTATATTTTGTATAATTCCCAGCAAAAGTCTCCAGTTTAAGCACCCCTGCAATGAAATAGACTTTGGGACCAAGGGAGAATATTGACACTAATATTGGGTGTACTTGGGAGAACCATGTTAGCACAGAATTGCCCTGTGGGCCTTTATTCCCATGTCTCTGGGGACAAATAATTCAGGCAGAGTGTAGCTGAGTAATACAGAAAACAAATGCCCTAAATGTGAGTTGGGAAAGTTATATTTTAATAAGAATTTCTATCACTTAATTCTATCTAGAAAGCCATGTGGCCAGGATGAGCACATGGGAAGAACAGCATCTGGCTGCTCGGTACAGAACAGGGCATAGAAGTCCGCACTGGACAAAGTCCCCTTACAGGTGTAATTCTATGTGAATTCAGACAGACAAGAGGCCTACAATTCCCAGCATGCCCCAGCCAGCATGAGCCAGTTTTAGGCCTTTTTCTTGTGCAAACTTGTCACACCAAAGAATGCAAGAGATGGCAAGACACAGAGGTGATGCAGTAAGGGAAGCAGGCCTCACTATTCCTAATGCCCTAATGGTCATTTGAGTGAGACAAAGAGAGGATAGAAAGGAACACCTCCATCTTCTGGTACCTTATCTGACCAAAGGGTCACCCCTACCCATGGCCTTGAGTTAAACTGGCACCCTGCCCAGCTAAGCAGCTCAAAGTTGGCTACTAGTGCACATTTGTCCTCGCAGCCATTGGGCTGAAATACCGCCAGAAGTTCACAAGCATCCCAGATGAGGGCCAGATTCCAACACAACAGGCAAACCTGTAGGGTGAACATTCACAAGACTAAGCAACCATAGGCACATACCTTAATATTTATCTCTGAAAGTAATGCAAGTGCTGTTAGAGGTGTTTTGGCATGTCCAACTGTAGCAACAGGAGCCAAGGCGATGAAAAGTTTGATTTTTGCAGCCAGTTGAGGATTCGTGGAAAAAGCGATAAAGCCTGAAGGGGAGAAAAAAGGAGCAAACTCATTTTCAACTCAAAGAAAGCAAGGCTGTCATTTTCGGGGGGAAATCTGAACAATAGCAGGAAAACTGTTAACTTTTTCAGATTAACAGAAATCATCCTTTCAATTTTTAAAATACTCAAAGTCATACTTCAAAGTGATAATTTATCCTGGTATTAATACATTTTAAAAGTACTTCAATCTCTGCCAGCCAAACTGCAGAAACACACTGGACCGAACGCCTACCATTCCCAGCCAGTGCGGCCAGCGTCCGTGGTGCTTGGGAATAAAGAGAGTTGCAGTTAGGGATGGATGGATGGATGTTGTTCAGCCTCTTCTGTCAGGCATCTTCTGTTCCATCTTAACCTTATCAATGGAACTGGATTTTTTTTAACCAGTTCAATAGTAGATCAGAATCACTCTACTAAACTAATGCACATTTGTGCTAATTAGTTCTCTAAAAATTGTTTCCTTTTAATAGAATTATACTGGATATAAATTCTGAACTGTATAAGGAATAGATTCCAGCTTTTCTCTTACTTGTTCTGCAGAATAATACAGCTATTATGCCTTGATCTGAAGTGGGTTTTTAAAAATATCGTACTTCAATATATTTAAATTACAATACTGATACAAAACTATGATCATGTAAGCAGTGGAATCTGCTCCTGACACTTTGTTTGTTTGTAACCTCATATGGTGGTGATGGGCGAAAGGAGCAGGGGACGGCAGAGGATGAGGTGGCTGGATGGAGTCACGGGGCAGTGGGTGTGAGCTTGGGTGGACTCTGAGGGATAGTGGAGGACAGGAAGGCCTGGAGGAACTTTGTCCGAGGGGTCACAATGGGTTGGACTCAACTTTGCGACTAACCACAAATGGTGGTGATGTGTCCTGTTCTACAGAAGAGAGTCTTCTGTTTGAAGGCCTGTCAGAAGATAATTCTCAATTTGAGGACATCCTCTGTTTGAAGGTATGTCCAGTCCAAGGCAACTTTAAAGGGAAAAACCTTAAGAGTGGAGAATGCAGGCTCTGAAATTGCCAATCAGCACCTGGACAGCAGACTGAGCAAACACACAGCTCAACCAGTCAGAGTCTTCTCCACTAAGATATAGTATATTTCTGTTTAACTTATAGTAATTATCTAAATATATTTCAATCCATCCATGCAAATTAGTATATTTAAATTTCAGGAAGACATGTGCCTCATTTGTCTGCTTTGTTGATGTTGCAGAAGCACCCACTCTTCAATGCAGCCTTTGCATTCTGGACCAGCTGACATTTCGGGGCACTTTTCAAAGACTACTCCATATCTGGCACATTGCAGCAGCCCAAAGGTAATATAATTTAAGCATATCTCATTTCAGCCAGAACCACAGTCTCCAGGTTGCTGGGAGGACCAGCTAAACTTCGGGGGGATGCATCTGGCAAAAGCTGCCACCTGATTATCTAGGAAAAAGGCCAAATTCGGACACAAACCCAAAGTTCAGACAAACTAGCATAGTAAAATGATTTCCTAGATCCTTATATCCCACTGCATTTTGGATGTGTAGAGTGACAAGAAATACAAAACTTTAATATAAGTTCCCCTGAAATAAATTGGATGTACTCTACTATGTATCCTTGCTCAGATGTAAGTTTCATTATTATTATTACATACGTTTTTATCTAGCCTTTTTTTCCTCAGTGAGAAATCGAAGGTCGCCATTCTATCCACACAACAACATCCTTGTGAGGAAAGGTAAGACTGGCCCAAAGTCCCTCAGAATGTTTTGTTGCTGAGTGAGGATTAGAACCTGGATTTCCCAGGTTCCCAGTCCAACACTAACCACCATACCACCTTGGATTTCCCTGAACTATAACTAATGTTAATCCTCCTTAAAGATTCATTAAAACAATAGGATCAACATTTGATACAATCCATTGAATTCAACGGGCCTTATTTTTATGTAATCATATTTAGAATTGCTATTCTTAAATACAAAAGCATGAAGTTAGCCATGCAGCATGCCTTTGAACTTACCAATGGTGGTTCCTTGTGAGTGGCCGATATAATACAGCTGTTGCTGCTTAGTTTTCTGCAGAATAAAATCTACACATGCTGGAAGGTCATATTTAGCCATGTGATCAAAGCTGGAAAAAAAATCTTTTTTGAAAGAGGATACTAAAGCCAACATTCCTTGCTGGAATAACACAGGGATGTCAAAAACCTGCATACTTTTTTTTTTAACACACTGAACACTTTATATTTTAATGAGGCATATGTTAAAGGGGCCCTTACTTTCTCCACTTTCTACCTTACTCATTCAGGCTCAAACTCCCAATGACAGCAGCAGCTCGATTTAAGCTGCCTTTCAAACATCCTCCACCCCACCCTGGGCAAGGTAGGATGTTGGCACCTCCTTCCTGCTTTGCCCCCTTCGCTCTTTCCATGTAGCCCAAAGGGCCTGATCCTGCCTAATCTCAGAAGTTAAGCATGGCCAGGCCTGCTTAGCATTTGAATGGGACACTTGAGGCCTGCATTAAGCAGGGAGTTGAACCCGGATGGCCTTCTAGGCCTCTTCTAGCTCTATGATTCCACTGTGTTCTATTCAGCCAGTCCTGAGGCTCATCAGTTTGCTCAGGAAAGGACTGGGCGCTCTGTCTTACTTGCTTATGTAGATAACAGCACTGCAAGCAAGACACTCAGTGTACTCTCTAACACCCAGCCCCTACCCCAAACTGTACCAGTTTGCTAACCCCGCCCATCTATTTATACATAAAGGATAAAACAAGCATCTACATAAAGTTGAAAATGTGGCATTATTTGTATAATATCTAACTACAGTTATGTGTGACTGAGTGATGCTCTGAACATGTTAATGTTCAGAGGAGAGTGTTAATCCAAGCATGTCAGTAAACAAAAGTAAAGAACCAGTACCAGACAAATAGATCTGTCATGATCACCTGTAGTTAGGTGAAAGACATGCCTTCATGCATAAGCTCTGGGGCTTATTCAATGTGCGTGCAAGGAACAATACGGATTCTAAAAGTTTGATAGCAGATATGTGAAACAGACTCTCAAAATTCCAAAAGGCAGAAAGATTGAGCAGAAGTCTTAACAATCTTCAGCACACCTGATGCTGAGACCAACACAGAATCCTCCAACATGGGGCTGTCTCAGAAGAGTGATCAAAATCTGCTCCCAATTCAGAATGCTTCTATCAGGCTACAGATATTTGCTGTGCAAACCAACCAGCAAACAAGCAGGCTACCTGAATTCCCAGAACTTCGTTGATGTGGGTGAAAGAGTCTGATGTCTTCTGGACCAGTTGTTCCCTCGGCTGTTTCCTAGCCAAACATCAAAGCCAGCATCTGCTAGCATGAAAGCCAGGCTATTGTGAGGAAAATTTTGGTACCAGTTAGCAGCATTAACGAGCAAGCCATGCTGCAGAAATACTACTGGCTTTGGACCTGAAAGAAAGACAGAAATATGTTCAGAGATTTCACTATCAAGTGCCAGACTTATTTGTTCACACCTATCGCTAACAATGCTGTGGATAGTCCAAGAAGTGTTTATTATTTAGTATATGACTAAGTTTTGACTTATATGCAACGTGCATATTGAGATATATTCTTAATTGCAATTAAACTCTTTTAAACTATCATTCTTGCAGTTTTAACATCCCAAAGAGTGCTTGTAAGGCCACCTAGACCTGGAGAATGGCTAGGCCTGAGCCCTGGATCTCCAGCCCTAGTTCCATTCCCCAGAGGCTTAAGGGTACATTGGTGCCAATGCAACATTTTCCCTCAGCTTAATAAACAGAGAGAGAAAATTTTTTTCAAGGGGAATTGCAGCTGAGAGGGAAGGGAGGTTGTTGTTGCTGTTACATGCTGTCAAGTTGTCTCCAGCTTATGACAACCCTATGAATGAATGGAGTCAACCTTAAATCCCCCAAGCTGGAGAAAAATCCCACTTGTGTCAATGATGGTTCTTTTTCTAAAATTAATTGCCATTGGAGGGGGATGATTTCCAGGGGGATCACAGCTGAGAAGGAGATTAACTTTCCTGTGTACTGCCCCCCCCACTAAATCTGCCCAACGTATGACAATTAAGCAGTTGAGAGACAACATTAGAAGCCAGAGAACAAAAATGGAGACATATTCTCGCATCCCTTGTCTGCTTCTGCTGCTTCTTTGCCCAGATCCTTCTAGACTCTCAGTCTGCTCGATGTTGTCCAGTCCTGGCTGCATCTTCCCACCAACAAACCTGCCTTTTCCTTCCTTCTACCCTCCCTCTGTTCTTCCCTTCCTAATATTTTTCCATATTTGCTTTGGTCTACCTCTGAAGCACCATCCTGCAGACCTTATCCCTCCTACCACCTAGACAGAAAGCAAACATTTCAAATGTCCCTAAGGGAATTATGCATTATTTTACTTTAAGTTTAAATTGTAGCAATTATGATTAATGAATAAGGTGATTAACTGAAAGGAAAATGATTAAAATTTGGAGCAGGATTTTTAGTGGCATTGGGAAACTAAGTGGGAGTGAACCCTTCTTTTGCTCCAGGCTTGCTTTTGAATTAGTATTCTTTTCAAACTTTTGAAAATAATTTTGCTGCAAAACTTGAACTTTTTAAGTGTGTGTATGTGTGCAGGAAAGGACTTGGCAAAACCCTAGGCCAATATAAACATCTTTTCTCCTTCCAAACAGTTCAGGACAAAACTAACTATAGTCTTCATTATGTTAAATTGGACAGTTAAGCTGGTTTTGTCATACAAAAGAGAACTATTACAGGAGTTGTTACCAAAAGACACTAGCAAAGTAACAATACTGGTCAATAGGGAAATAGGACTTAATGATAAGAACTTGGTTCCAAATGGAATCCCCCTCCTCCCTTCCCAACCAAAAGGAATTAGCTACACCCTCAGGAAGATTTCTGTAGGTCAAATGGCAGGAACACTAGATGCTACTTAATTGGTATGCCGTTTTGATATGACACCAGCTGATAGAACTGATTAAAATATATCTATCCCTCTCTTGGACCCCAAGGTGATCAAACCGGTCAGTGCTAGAGGAGATCAACCCTGACTGCTCTTTAGAAGGCCAGATGCTGAAGATGAAACTCAAATACTTTGGCTACCTAATGAGAAGGAAGGACACCCTGGAGAAGAGCCTAATGCTGGGAACAATAGATGGCAAAAGAAGAAGGGGACAGCAGAGGATGAGGTGGCTAGATGGAGTCACTGAAGCAGTTGGTGTGTGCTTGAGTGGACTCCGGGGGATGGTGGGGGACAGGAAGGCCTGGAGGAATGTTGTCCGTGGGGTCGCGATGGGTCAGACACTACTTCACGACTAGCAGCAGCAGCAACAACAAATCCCTCTCTGACTTTGCCTGCTCAAAAGCACTTTCCTCTGAAACAAAAGTGTGTTGGTTCTCACCAGCCACTTAGCTTATCTCTGGGCCTGCTGACCTTGCCATTTCAGTTAAGAATTCCAAACTCACCTCTCCTTCCACTTCTGATTCAGATTCCAAGGTAACAATCTTGGAAGGCTACATTATGGATGAAGTGGGCTTAGTCCCTTCACTACCACCCACCCTCTTTTTCCCCCAGTCAATTTCAAAATAATTTTAATTGAAGAACTACTGATTTAGGATAATCTACAGCAAGAAGCACATTCATGGGATAATTTATTTTGTTTGAGATTATTTGGATAAGAAATCCATTGGCAAGCTTTGCCTTTAAAATTCAAATACATTTTAGTACTTCTGCATGTGTATAAGCACATATACATAAGCATATGCATATTTTATGTAATTTTGCATCTGATCATGCTTACAGCATCTCATTCATTCTGTGGTCTGTAGCTGCACAACAGCAGAAATAACATTTCCTGCTGAAAAAGTATAGTCATTCTTCAATGTCACGATGTTCGAAAGGAAATGATAAGAACTTCAAAAGCCAGCTTATACCTGTGTGCGTACTGTTGAATCTGCCATGGGGAATTCTGAATATAGTAAGAATATACTTGTCTTTTGTCACAATGTCATATACTTCACAGGGATATTTCCAGTATGTGATAAGCTCTTTCTAGAGAAGAGGAGAGGAAAATCAATTTAAAAGTGTTTAAATCCTGTGGAAAATTTTCATATAAAAGGTGTCAGCAGGCGGCATGAGCAGGTGAGTGCCATGGCCCCAGAGGTCCCACAATGCCTAGTTTTGTTTTTGTTTTGTGATTTGGACAGAAGAAGCCAACAAGATCCTTGGAGTATAAGTAGGACAGAACTTTGATTTCTTAGTTATTATTTACACGTACTGTTGCATCATGCATCAGTGGGACTGGGACAGGGACAGGGACAGAGAAGCCCAGTGGGCAGACTTATGTCCATGCAGGTTTATGTAAGGTGAAGCCCTACATAACATTTTGTCTGAGGGTGGATCATCCCCACTCTGCTCCAATTATAGGCAAATGAAATTTCAGTTCCCCTGGGCTACAAACTCCCCTTTTATTTTATTTTTATTCATACTAAAGTTGTGATGTACATAAATGGAACCATTTTATGCATGTGCACCTAAGATTCTGTGCCAGAGAAAGCAGAGAACATGCCCATCCTGGACCAGTTGGGAGAGCATGGGGAAAAATATCTTTCCTGGACTCCATTTAGATGGCTAACCCATGCCTGGGTTTTCCTGATCTCTGAGAGTGGGTGGGTTGCGCTGCCTGGCTGACTGAGGCCAAGCCACAGGTGAGTGTGGTGAGTGGGCTTGTCTTTTGCTCTTTACACACTGTTCAGATAGATTTGTCCATTTCTGAGGAAGAGGCGGAGGAGGAGGAGGAGGCGCAAGAGGAAGAGCAGGAGTTCACTGATTCAAGGTGACCTAGTGAAGTTTCTCAAGCACCGCATGGGAATCTGCTTGCTTTGGCAGTAGGGGAAGGGTTTTCAGGGTCGGAAGAGGAGAAGATGCAAGACCTAGTCCTTGACCCAGTAAGGAGGGGATGGGAGAAGTGCGCTGCACCCACTCCAGCATTCCCACCATCTAGCCCTCAGGAAGCAAAAACCACCCTGAGCGTGGAGTCAGAAACTTTATTGAAACAGAGGGACACAGAGGGAAGTTTTCAGTTTGAATTCTTTACATGGGCCAATGCCTCTTCCTCAGCTTTAGCAGAAGACTATTTACAGTTCATACTATTCTGTAAACTGTCAAGTTTCAATAGAATAATTGTACTTCAAAGAGTTCACCTTAAACAGAAGGAAAAGAGGGAAAGAAGGAAGGACCAGCTCATGGCAGTGAGCAATATTGCTGGACTCTTACACCCCAAATAATCTCAAGATGTGCTGTATCTTTCTAGATGTTACTCAATTTCTTATCACAATGGCTGAGAGGACATGACTTTCTTTCCCAGGGACCAGAAAGACCCCCAGGTGCCACACAGCACTGCTAACAGGACTCTAGATAGCAATGCCAATTCCTGCCCTGCAACGTCACCCTGCTGCAATATGACAGTTTGGAGGAAGCTTTTTGATGAAAGAAGAAGACAACATTGGCTGCAACAGCTGCCAAATTTCCTTTCCCCTGTGTGAGAGAAGTCCTCTTAGCCCAGCCGTTGACACAATACCTCTTGCACAATTGCCTCTCCTTGATGCCACCTACCAACACCCCCCCAAAAAAACCTTCCCCCCAAGCTTTTTCCTAGCTGTGAGGATTGTGCATACTAATTAAAGGGGAGGGGGTAGAGCAAGTTCATGCCTGCAGTTCCACAATTTCTCTTACATACCCCCAAAAATTCAATTTTGACAATGACACTCAGATGAAATGGTTTCAGTAAAATCCCTATCTCTGCATCGAAATGGTATGGGACAGGACCAGTTGATAACTAGAGTGACTGCATGCAATTTCAGGGGTCAGTTCTTGGGCAACCCCCCTTTCAGAATGTACCAAATTACTCCCTGATAGACGCTTCCAATTTGCTTTCCATTATTCTTCCTTGGGGATATTCTCTTTTTTACTTCACTTACAGCATTCAGAGTGGCTTCGGGATCAACATGGTCACTGAGAATTTCTCCGTGGATTAACAGAGAGCCATTAAGCAAGCACATGAGAACTAGAATCGACCACATCTTTGGTTTACCTGAAAATATGTTGTATTAGCACACAAGTATGATTCTCTGAACAATTTCATAAAGTTTAACAATATTTGAATTATATTCCTAGGAAGCCAAGTTACCAGAAGAATCGTCTCCTCCCATTTACACTTCCCTAGACTCTCAGCTTGTCCTCAGCAGTTCTTCCGCTGGAGCTCCTGCCAAAGAATGTGAGGCAGCGAGCTGAGGGCATTTTCTCATTGTGACACCCCAGCCATGAAATGTGCTTCACAGAAAGGCTTGCCTGGCACCTACATTTAACCTGGTACCAAGTGAAGGCCTTCTTATTTTTTGGGATGACAATGATGACTATATCACATTTATATCCAGCCTTTTTTCTCTCGTGAAGAACCTGAGGTGGCTCCCGTTGCTCCATTTTACCCCTGCAGCAACAGCTCTGTGAGGCAGGTTAAGCTGAGAGTGAGTGACTGGCCCAGCCACCCAGGGAGCTCCATGGGCAAGTGGGGATGAGAACCTGGATCTGCCAGCCCCACCCCCCCAGCCTACGCTTCTAAAATTATCACACCACACTAGCTCTGAAGTCTTTTCACTGTTCTCATGGTCCTGTTTCAGCACCAGAAAGACATGGATGAAGACATGGAAGATCAAACCCAGACCTTAAAGAGTTAAGCCCTCAGTGCTTAACTGGATGGATGGATCCTGTTGGGTCTATTTTCACCCACACCAGAACATTCCTGTTCTTTTGCATTCACTTTATGAAATTGTGCGATTGTGCACATTTTGGTAACTTCTAATCAAAAAAGACAAATGGGATAAAACCATTACGGTGTTCCACAATGCTCATGAAAAACTAGGTAAGTTAACTCTGGAAATGACTATTCTTGTCTTCAGTCAGGGGACAAGCAGATTAAATGAAAATCTGCTTTGAAGTAGATGTGCTTCTGGACATACACTTCCTTACCCACACCACAACCGAAGACTTTTAGCTTTGGAAAATGAATTGTTCTACTATTCAGTTCATCTTATATTTAGACTTACACAGAGGGGAAGATCAAGGGCATCCTTTAACAACACATTGCAACTTTTTAAATCCTAAGCAAATGGTACCAATCCAGATAAACTAGGCACCAATAAAGAAACATGTCTTATACTAAAGGTGTTAAGTCATCACTAAAAAGTAGCAAAATATTCTACGTAGCTTGGAGCTGGCCTGACCAGACCTGACATTTGGGGCCTTTGAGAGGGGAAAATACAGACAACACAACCACATAAAAATGTTTTAATAATAACATAAATAATAAAATTGTCATGGCGCTAATATTCTATTCATCCAACTATAGGCAAATATGTATAGCTCTAATCATTTATACTTACCACTTCACGCAACAGCAACCAGCTCCCAAATGTGACTGCAGAGGTGGGGGACCCAGCGGTGCACGCTTCTCTGACAGTTGGGGTAGCCCAACGGTTTGACTACCTTTCTTCTTCAGACCCACATTTTATAGCACAACAGGGCATAAACAAAAGGCCTTTGGAACAAGATGCAATTTCCTTTTGGGGCTGTGCCAGCACAGTATTTCCTAAGCTTTGCTATATATGCTGTCTCTTATCATGAGACCTTGACAGTTGCACCCGTCCCTCACAGCCTACTGACATGAACTCTTTGGCACCCCCCATGTATACATACATGCATACATACATTCAGTGCACTTCATCAAGACCTCTAAGAGCTATGTGTTCAAAATTCTCTGCCTGGATGAACATTTTTTTCAGTTTCTCCCACAATTGAATTTTTCTGTTTGTTCCTCATTTTGGTAAGTTTTAATGTTTGAAAATTGGAATAAAATTACCATGCTCTTCCACAAGACTCATGGAAAAATTTATATGTTAATTCTAAACTGAGAGATGTAAACCTTTCTGAGAGCACTATGCTAATCAAATAGTATAGAAATGCTTTAAACAAACAAACAAACAAAAATGGATAATCTTTTCATCAGTCAGGGGACAAACAGATTAAATGAAAATTATTGTGAGAGGGCACCTCTTCTGTCAAATTTACCTTGAGTTCTGGACATGCTTTCTTACCCATTCATACCACACCACCAAATGACTTCTAGATTTAGAAAACTTCTAATTTATTGCTCTACTGTTCAAGTGTGGTGGTGTTGTTGCAATTATATTGTTCTTAAAATTGTATTTTAAATGTAATTTCAAGTATGATGTTAGCATTTATATGGGAACTGCTTAGGGTTTTTCTAAAATATTGAGGGGTGCATACATAGTATTAATAAATAAACGAATTAGTATAAATAAATAAATAAATAGCCACATCTTATGATTAAAATATTGCTCTGGGCCATTTTTGTGCAAATGAAGGCACACTTTGACCAACTTGTCAAAGTATTAACAGGCAAAGGATCTTTTGGGTAAAACATCCAGCTATTTTGCTCACAGCGAAGGGAATAATTTTAGCAGCAACATAGCACAGTAGAGTTGGAAGGGGCCAATAGAAGGGGTCAGGTCTGATCCCCTGCTCAGTGCAGGGTTCCAAGGTAAAGCATCTCTAGTAGACACTCTCCAGCTGCAGCTTGAGTGCCTCCACTCTAGGAGAGCCCATAGCCTCACCAGGGAATTGCCCTGCTGTCATATTGGTTAACAGGAAATTTCAAGAAGTCTTCAAAGGAATGAAATACTGCAGTGACTCAGTGCTTTGTGGCAGTGACTCAATGTATAGTTAATGACTAATTAAAAATTAACAGGCCTCTTAAATGTTCGATAGACAGTATTGCTTAGTGTAGAATGATCTTGCAGCAGCTTTCGCCCACCTGGTGTCCTGCAAATGTGTAGAACTATAACCCCCATCATCCTCAAGTGGCACCACCAAGCCATGTTGGCTGGGCATAGCAAATGGGGTCCAAGACATCTGGAAGGTCCCACACTGGGGGGTCTGCCTTACAGGGCCAAATCCAGTTGGGTCAAGTGCAGAAGTGGGCAATATCCCATTTCCCATCATCCCTTTACCCTGGCCATGCTAGATATGGCTGATGGCAGATATAGGCCAATATATGGACGGCCACAGGTTTTCCTCCTCTAGCCTGATGGGTCCAGAGGGAATCATTCAGGAATATGGATAACCCACATTTCCTATTGAGGGACCTGCCATTCCTGTCTTCAGTTGGTTCTTTTCCTGATTAAACAATAAAACAGCACAAAGACAAATGCTTGTTTGGTGATGCCATAAGACGTTAGTTATGTAAGGGTGAACAGGATCCAAGGGAGAAGGTCCAAGTATAACCAGGCTTGCTGGCAAAGAAATGTTTCATCCAAGAGATATGATGAACATTTACCAATGGATGCAATACTGCAGACTGTAAGAGAGATCAGTTAATAATATCTTCTGGACTGTGGGACAGTCAGAGAAGATTTTGTGGGTCACATGGAGCACCACTGCAGAGGAGGAAGTCCCATTGTGCAAGGAGAAGTTCACTTGTAAGACATTGCATATCACCCTAAGTTCAGTGCACTTAAGACTCTTGATATAAATTGCAAAGTGTGAATAGCTTAGAATCATACAGTAGCAGAGTTGGAAGAAGCCAGAGGGCCATGAGGTCCCTACTACTAGTGCCCGGACTCCAAGTTAAAACATCCCTCTCAAGTAGCTGTCCAGCTGCACCTTGAATGCCTCTAGTATGGGAGAGCCCACAACATCCCTAAGTAATTGGTCCCAGTGTCGTACTCCTCTAACAATCAGGAAGTTCTTCCTGGTATCTAGTCAGAATCTGACTTACTCTAACTTGAGCCTGTTCCATGTCCTACACTCTGGGATGATTGAGAAGAGATCCTCTTTGTGAGAGCCTTTCAAGTATTTGTAGACTGCTATCATATCATCCCTCAGTCTTCTCTTCTTGAGGTTAAACATGTCTAGTTCTTTTGATATAAAGCTTTGTTTCCAGTCCCTGGATCATCCTCGTTGCCCTTCCCTGAACCCTTTCCAGCTTGCCTGCATCTTTCTTCAGCTGTGGTGCCAGAACTGTACTCCAGATGAGGCATAACCAGGGTTGAGTAAAGAGGAACTAGTACTTCGTGAGATTTGGAAGTGATACTTCTATTAATGCAGCTAAAATAGCATTTGCCCTTTTTCAGCCACATCACATTTGTGACTCATATTCAACTTGTGATCTACAACAGTTTCAGGGTTAGGCCATATCTTGTAGCAATACATTTGGTTTCTTTTTCCCAGGTGCAAAATTTATCATTTGCACCTACTGAATTTCCCTCTTTTATTTTTAGCCCAGTGCTCCAAACCTATCAAGTTCCCCTTGAATCTTCTTTCTGTCATCCAGGGTGTTAGTGGTCCTAACCAGTTTGTGTATCAGCACTTCCTCATCCAAATCATTAATAAAATGCTCAGCAGCACTGGTCCCAGGACCAAACCTTGTGGTGCCTCACTTGTTGTCTCTCCCCAATTTGAGAAGGTGTCATTGATGAGCATTCTCTGAGTCCAGTTACTGATCAGGCTGACTCCAGTTAGTGACCCTACCTTAGTTTCCTACCACCCCATCCACATATTTATTGCCATATTGTAAGGGCAAAACTGTACAGATTTTGAATGCAGATTCCATTCATGTTCGGTCCTGAAAGTGTACAGAACAGGGAACAGATCAAAAACAAACCAAAACATTTCTCAGGCATCCCTAGTTGCAGAAGAACTGTTCCAAAGAACAATGCTCCCCTCTGCTGGCTGGAAATAAAACAATTTAAAGCAACATCTGTTATTTCACTCTTCCCACAGACATGCACCTATATTCAGAACTTCTCACACACTGGACCCCCTCTTAAATTTCTTTGAATGAGGGTCCATTTTACTTTGTCCTGGGAAAAAGATGGAGGGCAGTATCTAGTACTGCCCCAGTGCCAGGGCAAATGACATTGTGCTGGTACAAACTGATGCTGGTGCAACATCATTCATATTTGTTAGGCAGGGAGTGAAAAAGTAGTGATTGCCACCACCAAAATTCAGTAGCATGCAACTGTGATAAAAATCAGCAATGGATCGTTTTCTTTCCTTGCTTTGCAGGCATTAATAAGGATGTTGCATTAGGGTTAGTTTACACTAGTGCAGCATCATGAGTGCTAGAACTATAAGTGCACTAGATACAGGAGAAGGTCATGCCCCCTCCAGAGAGGTTATCAATCACAGCTTTTATTCTGAATCTGATCTTTAGGGGAGCTCTCTTTGGTGCTCCATGGTGCTGAACCTATTTGAGGGAGAAAGTTATAACTGGCTCCTCAGAATGTAAAAGCTGCTGGATAAGAAGCGTTGCTGATCTATGAGTTACATCCCTCCCCTGTTTCTAGTGAACTAGTCTCTGCATCAGCCTCCCCTGACTGGATACTACGAATTGTCATTTTACT